GTGTCTCCTGTTACAAAATCGACACGATTAAAAAATAACCCCCCAAATATTGAAGGTTTGAGTAATATATAAGTTTGATCAATTCCGACTACAAATATATTACGACCTTTCATTACGGACTGTGCCTACGCGTTTAGATGCGTAAAGGAAGCCTCCGTGTGTCTGAACATGCTACTAATAGCGCATACAATAACGAATGGAGAGTCAACAGAATTGATTAGGAATACACTAAAGATCATCTTGGTGTTCATCCGGTGGGCAACTAGTTCGGACTAGTACCATCGGATGCAAACTTACGATTTGAAACATAAAAATATTGTTTTAAGTAATTACAAATATCCCCCTTCAGTTAAGTACCAACAAAGGAGGGATATTTTGCGCTCCCACCCTACATGGATACTAAATATGTTCAAGTGACCAAAAGACACTAGGATAGGTGTGCACAAAAGGAATTGTTTCACAAAATGTTCAAAATGACCAAATTATCATCGGAGATTAGCAAGTCATAACTTAGCAAAACAACTGCTAGTGGTCAGATAGATAGCCAAGAAACCTCATACACACAAATCAACAAGTGTGCTGAGAGCCAGTCCTTCTGGTGTCGCGACGTTCCTTAGGCAGGATATCACTCTCCAGATTTGCCCTTACTTCATTAAAGTCGTTGTAGACATCTTCAAGAAACAAATTCTTCCTCACCTTTGCAATCGTGTCCTGTAAAATTGACAAAATAGCTCTAACAAATAAGTTCAAAGACACAACGTTACAACCCCAAGTTAGACCACAACACAAACAAATTTTCTAGGGTGCAATTTCTCTAGTTGCGCTCACCAGGTGCAATTCCGCCTCAAAGCTTCTAGCACAATGTTTAATAGTTGCAAGCATCAGGGCACCACAGGAAGACCTATTGTTCAATTAGAAGAGCATTTAGATATTATGAAAGGACCCCAATTAATAACCCAATCACTAAAAAAGAATGGCAGTCATAAAAAAAACTCACGTATCGGACTGCTGCACCGGAAAAACACGCCTTAACCAACTTTCTACAGTCCCCTCCACCCACATAGGGTTGCTTATCTGAAGCAACACCTCCAACGCCTTCACCTACAAGATGATGCGCATAGATTACATATCAAAAGATAAACATCACACATGTGAAAACAATATAGTGGACCTTCATTCATCCTGCTTACCAAAATCTCTACAATTGCCTCATGCGTACAGAACAGATCGTCATACATAAAGTCAATCATCCAAATCCTTTGGGATTTTAATTCCAAAGCAAGACAAAACCAATGCTCAGCATTCTTTTGTGGAACCAAAACAGGGACAAATACCTGAATCAACAATAAATCATCGAGATTTCGGTCCAAACCCATCCCAGTCATCTTCGACACAAAACTGCTAAAACATTTTTCAACAACACCCTCCACAAGGGTCTCCAGCTTCGGGGTGAACTTAGCAATCATCTGCAACACAGTGGTTTAAATTCAAATAAGTATACAACAAGTAACGTGTGTACTTAACACAAAACTACAAATAACATACATTCGTTTACCTTGTCCACCACATCTGTCAACATATCATTCATCTGCTCATTGTTGGTGAGTGGAGAAACATCCTTTCCTACACAATCATCATCCCTTGTTACAAGGGGATGCTCCTCACCATACGCTATATCATACGCCTTCAACCAAATACAACCAATAACTAAAATCAGAAATGTCAACACAAATAAAAAAGCAAAAATAATAACTACTAGCTTCCCTTACCAACAACTTCCCATACTCGTCACGGGTAACCTTGTCTTCCATAAGAGTTGCCCTTATCTCGACAGAATTCCACACCGTCACCCTTGGGAACACTCCCCATTTCAAAGGTTTCCAGTGCAAGTGATCTAGATAGAATATCTAGGAGAACAAGTTTTAAATCAATTAATACACATACACAAATTCATACATAAAAAATTTCTATACAAAAAGAAACAATGATAAAAACTCACCATCACAAACAAAAAACTACCTCCGCAACCGGATCTATACCCATCCCTCATAAACTTTGACTGAAAACGCCGGGCAGTGTCACAAAGCCAATCCATGGTGAAAGTACACCAGTCATACTCATTAGCATGACTAGCCACGGTAACACAAGGAATTAGGGAAGATGCCAAGTTAGAAGAATTGGTTGTGGTGCATAGTAGTTTTCCAAGCACCACAATAAAAAAGGCAACCATGAACTCCTCCTCATCAATCTCTGTCAGCAGCGGCATGTGCTTCTGATCTGTCCCTAATGGACACAACACACTAGAAGCAGCTTTCAAAGATATTGTCTCCTTCTTCGGTCCCGTCCCATAAGCATCGTACATAGACTTCACCAGCATAATCTTCTCTTCGTCTTCACCAATATCCATTGGCACGGGTTTTGATCCCATAGGAATCCCTAGCACACACCTCACCTACTTAGCACCCAAAGGCAGAATTTCTCCTTCGCCAAATACCATAGTTGCATCTTCGCGAACACGGGCCATAAGCCAATAACAGAACTGCCTTGGAATATTCTTCATATCCAACTCCAGCAATGCACCAAACCCCATCCGCCTTACTAACTCTTTCCGCTTTGTATCAAAGGCAGAAACTGAGACAGAAAATGACTCAACCCGACAAACAATATTCGAATACTGCCACAATTTGCACAACACATTTACACTAATAGCACAACAACAGAAGAACAACATTCCAATAAAAATTTTCTTGGACAAAACATTTACCTGTCCGACATTGTCATGATGGGTCTTCAAAACCTCCCCTTTACTCAACACCTTGTTCCCTTCAAGTGTACGAACCTATTTGATTTTTCAGGTACAAAACACACAAGGTTACACCCCACTAAACAAATAAGGAAATTTGCTCCCATGTAAAAACAACTTTTTAATAAAACAATCACCTTACGCCGGTGTTGACTTCCTTCCCCATTCAATCTCCTCTTCCGTGACTTCTGTTTCATGTACTCCATCATCAAGTTCTCCACAATACCAGAACTTGAAGTTGACTCGCCTTCACCATCTGTATTATTACTCTTCATTTCGTCTCCATCTTCATCATACTCATCCGATTCCTCATAATCCTCATCAATCTTTCTCTTAGGGCCTACCTTCTTCCCAAGAGCCTGGCTTTTAAGAGGGGCAGGAGCCTTCGACGAAACACGTTCCTTCTTGCCCTGCCCCTTACCTTTACACTTAGAAGGACCACCCTTGTACAAACAACCGCAACCAAGTTAATACCCTTTCCTAATACTACATCACAAAAAATATACATACAAAATTAACAAATATAACTCACCTATCCCTTCTTCCAGCTCATCGAACGCACCAATGTCTTCCCCATCCACACTAACCAGCCCACCAACAACCCTGTTTTTAAAGATTATAATCATACAAATATTCTAATCACATAGACACCAATCCCTATTCCCACCATTATAAAACAGCTCAATTGAATATTCACAAAAACACCAATCCCTAATAGAATCATTAATAATGCTCAATTGAATAATCACACACTTAGGAAACCCTAATCAGCAATCAAAATGCACTTTTGAATATTCAAAAGTCCATTCCACCCCAACAAAAACATAAATTATTATGAAACAAACACCAAATCGCAATTAAACATTAAAAAAAAACTATATTCAATACACACAAAAACAACAATCACCAACTCCAACATTAAAAATTCATCCAATTACTAATTCAGACAACCCCTACATTCACAGTTAATTAAATATAACAACTTCATAAACAAACAATTATCCCTAATTCCTCATGAAGACACTCTCTCCCTCTAATTTAAAATTAACATGATTAATATATAACGCAAACACTAAACTATCCATCACTATATATCGGATTATAGTTCAAGAACACATGCATCCATTAATTACGCCCTTTCACACATTAAAATCCACACTCATTCAAGTTTCAATTACTCGTCTTCATTCATCCCGACCCAACAAGCCACGTGAGTAACCAAACCCTAATCACAAGTTCACTAATACAACCGTATTTTTAAACTATCGATGTCACACAAAAACTCCAACTTCAGACCAACACAGCAATTTTGAAACAATATAGGGCAAACACAAGACTCAATTCAGAAATTCATGAAACCAAATTAACAGACAATTGCAAGTAACACCAACCTGGAAACGCAGGGATGAACCTCGCGATTTCGGCTACCCACCACTCGAGCCCAGACTTTAAGCCACGAAACCTCAACGTCGACAACGACACGTGATTTAACGAACGAATTACCACCGAAATTCAGCAGTCGAGATATAAAAATAAGGAAGGAAGTAAGAGGAGAGAGAGAAGAACACAATAAAGACCAAAAATTAAGAATGAAAGGTGGAGAGAGACAGATTCCCCATTAGAAAACAAATTGAATATGGCTCTTCTACCAAAGACAATATAATACTATTTTTAATTGAAGTACTAAAACGGGATGACAGTAAGCAAAACGGAGGTGCTACTTAGGAATTTTCAAAATACATGTCAAAGGACAACCATACCCCTCGTTATGTATTATGAGGTACATAACTAACCTCCCTTAGGAAGGCCTGGTCATTTTACCACTCCTCCCAATTCCCATCTCATAATACCAACCCTCCTTGGTATTATTTTGATGGGAATAGAGGGCATATATTCCAATCCCCTTCCCACATTTTAATCCCCGTCGGCCTTCCCACCTACTCCCTCCATTTTTAAATACTTGCTCCATTTTTCTATGCGTGGAGTTTTAGAAGAAATTGGAGAAAGTAATTAAATATGGAGGTAGTGGAGTAGTTGAGAAAATAAAAAATTGTAAAAAGCAAAAGTAGTGGAAGAATAGGAGAAGAGAGAGTATTATGTTGGGTCCACTAAGTATGAGAAATGAATTAAATATTGTAAAAACTTTCCAAAAAAGGAAATGAAAGAAGTATTTAAAAACGGCCGAAAAAGAAAAGTGGAGCAAGTATTTAAAAACGGAGGGAGTAACAAACAAGGGATTTTATTACAGGTGGGATTAAAAGTCGCATTCCCAACCCCAATTCCCACATACCAAACGCCCCCTAAGTACTCACCAATTCCGTATGAAGCTAGGACGTGGAGGTGATTATTATTACATTACCCTTCCTTATTACTCCCTTCCCCCTTTCCTCTCAAGCCCTAAAACACCTTAGTAACCCCTCACCTTCAACACTCCGGCGATCCCCTCCGACGAGTCGGCCGACCAACTCCCTTCTCCCTTGCATCTTTACATCCTTAACTCCCTTCAATTTTGTACTTCCGCTTTCTAATTTCTCTAATTCATTTTTATTTTCATATCATATTTTGCAGCTAATTATCGTTTTCAAAATCACCCTTTTTTTTAATTTTTCTATCTGTGATTTTTTTCAAAAATATTTTGATTTTTTTTTTCTGTAATCGTTGTTGTATTTCAATTGTTTCAATTCAAATTCTTGCCCCTTCTTTCGTCAATTCGATAAACCCACCTTTTCCTAAGCATTAATTGAAGGTTAGGTGATTATTTTGGGAATTAGGGTTCTTATTAGTAAAATAGTATTCAATTTCATCTCATTGAGTTTATTTGTGCTGAATTTCTGTTGTTTATGGAAATTAATAATGGATCAGAATGATAAAGAAGTAATGACGAGTGAAGGAGGCAGTGCTCAAGCCGTAGCAGCAGCTACTGCTGATCCTAATTTACTTGAGGTAATTATTAAATTGTATCATTTTTAATTTTCTGTGTTAATTTGATTTCCTGGCAACTTCAATCATTTTATCCTGTATTGGAGTTTCTGTGAATCAGTTAGAGCTGCTTGTGTAAGCTGCAACTACAATCTTATGTGGACTGTGTCATCGTTTAATTAACGATTTAAGCCCGGTTTATGTAATGAAGAAACTATATGGGGATATATGATGATCTTTATGTTTTCGAGTTTTGGTTTTGGCATTAAGTTGCTAGAATAGAGTTAATGGCTTAATGCCCAAAACCAAAACTCGAAAACATAAATGTTTTAGTTTAGGAGTTAATGTATATTGTTAGAGGTCTGATATCTTTAGTCATATTGATTTGGATAATTGTATTTTGCAATTCTATTGATTTTAGCTTTTAGCATTTGATAGTGCATTCCAATTGTGTCAGAGTTTGAGTGTTTGATTGGATTGTTTAATATGATCCTTGTACTTGAATGGCTGAGTTGTAGTAATCATTGCCTGTGATAATATGTGTTTTTTTTCCCTTGTTGTTTATCTACGACCTATTAGGTTGAGGCTAGCGTTTTTCTGCACTTCTTTGATCTGGATATCCAGTCGTTGCATATGGCAATGAATATTGTTATGTGATTTTTGAGAGCTTGTCATGGTTGAATAATACACCCTCTTACCTGAATTAAGTTATCACTCTGTCCCAACCTCTTATAGTCAAGGATCTCACCTCTTGTAGTAAAGGATATGGCATGAAACATTCATTTGTGTTACTTTTATCCCCTCCTTATCACTTAGTTTTGAATAGTTACACAAGGATATCTATCATATAGGAAAGGTGTTTCTAGAATCCTAACATAATACTAAAGTGTGCCTCATGCATTATCAATAACATTAGAGATCTAAATATGAATACAACACCACCAACAATCACATAGTCCGAAAAGAGATCTATACAAGAATAACTCATAAATATTTGTGAGAAAATTATAAATATAATAGTGTGATATGAAAAGATGATTTGGGCCTTGAATTTTTCTGATAGTTTTCAATAAGATAACGATCACATAAATAAAGGTTCAACCCATTAGATGACCGTAATTGTTATTATTTTTTTTTCTTGTTATTAAACTTAATTAATGTAACTTGTAATATATTTCCCCGTATTTTATCTTTTTTTACTTGTAAGGTTTTAGTTTTTCACATTTGCCAATTCATAACTTTAATCATATATATCTTTAATTATGCAACAACAACAACAAAGCCTTAGTCCCAAAATGATTTGGGTTGCCTAACATGAATCGTCATAAGGAACCGTGCGATTTAAAGAAAGGGACATAACAAGATAATCAGTTGAAATTAAAGTTTCTATCTTTAATTATGCATTTGTGAAAAATTATGAAAAATAAATTTTAACAAAGTTGATGTTGCATCGAATCTAACAAGATTCAATGTCTATTCTGTGTAAGTATATATCACATAATGTAAAAAAGGTTAGCATGTGAATAGCGTACAGTATTGAAATGTTGCAAGTGAAAAATTGAGGAAATTTTACGTACTCCATAATTATATTTTCTTATTCATTTAGAAGTATGCAAGTATTTTGACTTCAATAATAATGCAAAAATGGGACCATTAGTGGGTCTCCTTAGTAAACAAAACCCAAGTATAGCATAGAAAACAGATACGAAATAAATCTTTTTTTTTTTTTTTTTTTTTTTTTTACAAAACAAATATGTAAACTTCACCATGTACAAAATATTTGATCCCTTTCACCAAACTTAACTTAAAAGTTAAAGTAATCCTATATTACCCACAAAATAGCTTGACTACCTTTAGTACGTTGCAACAACCGCACACACGCCTACACAAAAAAAAAAAAAAAAAAAAGTAAGATTAATTGCAAGATGAACATCTCATTAATTAGCGAAGCATTAACATAGTATGTATTAGTTTTCCATGATTTAAGCTTTTATTATATACATCTCCATTCTTCTTAGTCTGTTAAGAAAAACAATTGATTTGTCTTTATTTTATTTTTTATTTTCTAATATTTACCATTCTTGACACTAAAACATCATACATATACATGGAATTATACTCCCTCCGTCCCATAATATAGTTCCTATTTTCCTATTTTGAATAGCCAAATTGTTGTTCCTGTTTCTATTTTTGAATAATATGTAAAGACCATTATACTCTCACTTTTTTTTTTACTCTATTCATTATGCTTCCTACATTACCCTTGAACTTTGCACATGCCTTGTACTTTTTTCCACTTTTTCTCTCTAACTTTTGTCTTTAATTGTGCTTTTCACTTTTATTAATATACTTCTTCCACTTTCTCCACCTATTTCTTAAATATTGTGATAAATACAAACAGAAACTATATTATGGGATGGAGGGAGTATCTTAATAAAGCATAAATTTAAGCATAGTAATACTTAACCAAAAAATGCACCAATTACTAAATTAGTACATTCAGTATACATTTTTTATTTTTCTATTTCTTGGGTAATTATACCTTAGTTTAACCTTATACAAATCAGAAATTCATAATACCTTAGTTGACTATTTGTAATGTACAATGTCTTCTTCAATATATTAATTGAAACAAAAAATTTGATGATATGTTTCCCATCTTGGTTTTGGACTTTTGGGTGTCGTGTCTAACACAGTGTCAAGTCCTCTAGATTTTACAAAATTTCATATAAGGCTACTATATATTTGGGTATCGTGTCGTGTTGAAGTGTCACAGGATTTGATACAAAATTTCATATAAGGCTACTATATATTTGGGTATTGTGGTGTTGAAGTGTCACAGGATTTGACACTCGACACCAAACGTAGAACAGGGTGTTAAACTATCATAGCTTTGACGAGTATTGTAGGAAACGAATAATCAAGCAAAAAATGGGTATATATATATATATAGTTTTGGCCAAAATTGGAAGAAAATCAAAGCATAATTGTTTGATTGAATTGCTCATCAAATCAATACGAAAATAAATTATTGATCTTGGGTTTTTATTAATGCAATTAAATGTTGAATTATACCTCCTCCTTTCCCCTAATATCCCTAATATTGCTTCAAGGGTGGTTGAAGATGAGGAGAGGTATAAAGAGAATTGTTGCAATATTTGTGAAGCATCCTAAATTGGTAATTGTTGTAATAATAGGAGAAGTCAAAGAATGAGAAAATAAATTCGCACTCAAAGAAAAACATGTGAAATTTGCGAAGATGAGTAGACTTGGAATTTGATAAAAAATTAGTCTACTATTTATCTTGTTTAATACATGCCTTTGGACTTTTTATTTTGGTAGTAGTGATAATACTGTTATAGAAAATCATTTACCTTTCAATTTTCCATGCAAAACTTTCAATTTCATCCGAATAAGTGTCTTCATGGTTAGATTTTCTTCCATGAAATTAAGGTTGATAAACATGGGTGGTTTCATGAAATTTGTTCTATTTATTTATTTATTTATTTATTGGGATATGCATGTAATCTCTTGTTTCTCTTCCACTAGGAAGTAGGTTAGCAGTTAAATGTTTGAAAAGTGATTTAGGTGGGAGTGTGTGAGGGAAAGGATAAAGTGACTCCTAAATTAATATATAGATATTAGATATGTGCCTATGGATAGAGGAGTATTATTAACAAATATCTTTAAAATCATTTATTCTGTTTTGTTTTATCCTGAAGTATCGAGCTGAAGGGAGCCAGGGGTACACATATCAATATTACCCGTCAGCAGCTGCACCTACGCCTATTACTTGGCCTGTGCATGGGGGTGACCATTCAAATTTAGGGAACAGAACTGTTCAGAATGTGAGCTACCAGTATCAGCAGCAGCCTACTACTGTCCAGGATGCTACAAACATGCCTTCTATTGCCTCTACGTCAACAGCATCAGGGACTGATAACGCTTCACACATGTACCCTAGTTATGCTACATACCCTAATTCCAGTAATCCCTATGGTTATCCAAGTTCTGAATACACCAATTACTATAGTGGTTACCAGCAGCAGCCAACTCAACCATACACTCAAGCAACTGGAACATATCAAAACTCAGGTTCTTATCAGCCTATTTCCTCATTTCAGAATACCGGGTCTTATGCTGGGTCTACAAGTTATCCAAGCACTTATTACAATCCTGCTGATTATCAGACAACGGGAGCTTACAACGGAAGCAGCTACAGCAGCCAGACTAACTTGTGGAGTCAAGGGAACTACACAAATTACCCTCAGCAGTATGGGAATTATAGCCATGACACAAGCAATGCTTATAGTTCTAGTAGTGCTGCTGCAACTACGAATTATCAGCAGCACTATCAGCAATGGGCAGATTATTACAGTAGTCACACTGAAGTTACCTGTGCTCCTGGGACAGAAAATACTACTGTTGCGACCACAGCGGTTTTGTCGTGTCCAGTTCCTGGAGTTTCTAGTGGTTATGCAGCTCCTGTGAATCAGCCACAGGCAGCTTATGCCCCGGCTTGGAAGCCCGAGATTGCCCCCTCTGCATTGCCTTCACATCAGGTTTGAGTTTAATTTTGATATTTAGAAAATATAGATGAAGTGCTTGGTTAATGGTATTTATTTCGTTGTCTTTGGTTAGCCTTGGTCATTAGTTAAATGATTTTTCTTAATAACTAACTATTTTATGTGATCGTGCTCTTGATTCTTTATGTTGTACTTTTGACTGTAGACTTTCCATTTATGAGTGTTTGTGTGTGCACGCGCTTGCACATGTATGTAGAGACTTGTTATAGATCAATTGGGAGAGAATCAGATCAGGACTGTAGCAATCAAGAATTTTTTATGTACCTGTGATCTATTTCATGTATGATTTCTATGGGTTCATTTTTATAATTGAAGATGATTATTTGGGCCTGAAGGTGAGGTCTTAGGAAGCTGGACATTCTGTGGAAAGGGAGTAGAGAATTAATTCACACTTCTCTTTATGCACTCTAACAATGTCCCAGTTCTTCTGTAAACCATAACCATACTTGCTCCTAATCACTTTATGCCTCTGGTGTTTAGGTTACAATGTGAACTTATTTCATTTTTCACATATGTGATGATTTTGGAAATCAAGTTACCCAAACCCAGACCCCTTCCTCATGTCTACATAATCCAACTCTATAGGTGATATAATTAGAATTAACTGCCTAACAATATAAACATCATTGTCAAACTTCTTGGTAATCCCTACCAGAATTTTGAAGACGAACAGATGATGTAAAGTGGTATTGAACTAGAACTCTAGAAGGATTGTTAGAGTGATACAAAGCCAAGAGTCTGCCTTCTTATACCCATCTAACCTCTTATAAACTCTCTTAACCCTGGAATTTGAAGGACTTGCTCCTTGAACTCTGTTGCTTAGGCAGGATTTAAGAGGATCCTGAATTGCTAAGCTTGCCAAGGAGGAAAGCCTGGAAGGATTTCAGGCTCCTGATCTATACTAGAAACTGTAGACTTGTGTAAGCTGTATGCATGGAGGCTCAAAAATCTGATGCGGGTATATCATTAGAAAGGTATGAAGGTAGAATATTTAGTGAAGCCTTATTATATAGGGCAAAGATGGTGTGAATATAGGAGAGTGTATTGGATAGCAGCAAGTAGAATTGATGCAAGTCCTAGTCTGACTGTTTGAGCTTTGGTATAACATGTCATTAGGTTTTTTGACAGTGTCTGTTAGAAAATTAAAAATGTTAATTGAATAATGTGCTAGAATTATTTTATTTTATTTTATTTTTTTATTTTTTTTATTTTTATTTTTTTTGTAAAAATTTACAATTCTCGAACTTCCGGTGTTTCTTTAACTGAATAATTTAGTTTGTGAGATCAATTTAATCGTTGTTCAGAAACTGTATAATAGGCAGCCTAGATGATTAGAATTTATCTTCATGAAAGGTTAATTGGTGTTAGTAAATATTTATAATTGTATGTCTACATCTACTTATCCTTGTATTAGTAATCTATTTATATATATCAATATGAGAAGAGAGGAGAGAATTAAGGGCTATAAGAATGTAAGATTCTTAAGTACATGAGAATAAGGCTATGCAATACATAAGAAAGATAAGGGTACCACTGTATGTCAAGCCTCCTCCACTCTCCAATGTTTCTCTGTCTTTTGTTCCCGTTGTTATGATTCTTGTGAACCATGATATAATACGTCTAAGGCATGAAGTTAATTGAGGTCAACTGCATAATTCTTTCAAGGCATAGGCAGTACTGGGTGCTAAAGGCAGGGCTTCATTTCACCTTCTTCTTTCTCTCCTTTGCTGTTTCAAAGCCTCTCTCATCCTTCATGAACCAAATCCATTATCTTACATTAGACCACACATAGTGATGTTTTGTGAGCCAGGGCTCTTGCTATAATAATTTGGTTTGTGTAATTGGTATCAAAATTTGTACTTCTAAATTTTACGTGTTATGATAGGTTCCCTCCAAAATAAAGGCATTTGGTTGATTTTTGCTTTGTGATGGCCTCAGTCTTCCACTGTCATCGTTGCTAAATCCTAGCCCCAGAACTTTAAAGGCTGTAAGTGGGTCTTATGAGCTCCTAATAATTGCTCCTATCTGTTTGTTACTCTTCGCTGTCTCTCATTTGTCATAACAAAGTGCAAAAGCCTTGTGCTTTCCATCTTGAATTGTTTTTATTTATGAGTGGTTACCATTTAGTATAACAAAATTTATGTTTTCCATAATATCCTATTGCAAGTGTTTGCCTTTTAACACAACAAAGTACTATGTGAAAGGTGGCATATTAATGATAATAATATCCTATTGAACCTCATGCTCTTTGGCCATGAAGTATGTTTTTTTTACTTGCACTTTTTGTTGTGATCTGAACATATCTCAAACCATGTGCATGTTTGCCAAGCTGTGAGGGCTGCTGCTTTTTTTCCTCTGTTACTTTTATATTATGGTTGTTTGACGGGTACTAAACTTACCTTTTTGCTGCATTTGACATGCTTATGATTTATGAATCAGTGCTTGCATTCTATATATTGCAGCCTTCTATGCTTTGTGGTTACATGTAATTCTCCTTCCATATCTCATTTGCCACAGATGCGGGAGAGGAAACGTTGGGATTGCGATGTGTGTATAGGCAAGTAAATATAAATAAGAAAGTGGATTTTTCTTATTGTTTTTTAATTGAGGCGAGAGTAGGGTGGAGAGAGAAGAAGATAGAAAAAGTAATAAAAATGAAGAATATTATTATCAATCTTTTAGGAGAAATGGGAGGTTTATTTTAGGATGGAGGGAGCAATTGCCCAATTGTTATTCTGAGTACAGTTTCTGAATGTCATATGACGTTTTATGTAGTCACTGTTTTGTTTCCCTGTTACATTGTATTTAATATATTTTTCTTCTTTTGTTGTCTTACCAGACAAGCAGTCCAGTAGGTGCTTATAATGAATACTGGAAACATGCTACTCAAGCTTACCAAAACCAGAGCGCTTCTAGTTCGCAGTCCAATTTTCAGAAGCCTTTAGATGTAAACCATTCTAGTGCTCAGGATCAGCAGCATACTCTTGCACCACAATCACAGCTACCCAATTCAATGTACACCGAGGTGCAACAAACTCACCCACAACCCTTGCAACCCCTTACTCCAGCAGATACGCTCAGGGTAAGCAACCTTCAGATTCCATCAAATCCTAGAATTGCCTCAAATTTGGCTTTGTCTATGCCAAAAAGTTATAAAGATGCGGCCACATCAAGTGTATCAGCAAAGCCTGCCTATGTTAGTGTCTCATTGCCTAAACCTGCCAACAAGGCTCTGTCTGGTAGTGCTTCTGACTCAACTCTCAAGGTGAGGCTTTTTATACCTTTTTTACCTTCATGTTAATTATGACCCAATAAAAAGTATCCTTCCAAGCTGAGCGACTTCTGTTTCTGTTGATAATTTACATTTATCTATGTTGATCGATGATCAGTTCCCAAACTTTTTCTTTATATTTCATATTTATAGTACTGTTTTGCAGCCTGGAATGTTCCCAGCATCGCTTCGAGGTTATGTAGAGAGGGCCTTGGCTCGTTGTAAGGATGAAAAACAAAGAGCTGCTTGTCAAGAAGCCATGAAGGAGGTGAGCCATAAAATATAGGAATGTTTACTTGATGGGCTCTTTTGTATTTGTGTACTTGGCTATGTGTTTGTGTGTACACATGCGCACCCAGGACTTAGTTGTGGATAGGATGGTGGGGCATTTATGGTGTCTGAATTTTTTTTAATTTTTTTTTAATGTTTTACAAATTGTAAATTATAGAAATAATGTTTAGAAAAGGTCTTGTGGAGAACAAGTACTTTTGCTTATGCTTATAAACATATCCTTTTGCTTACAGACTTGCACGTTGTTTCTGTTGGATTTTCCATATGGGCTGAGACTTATTTCCAATTTGGTTGACTGCTTTGTATTCATTAGATGATTATATTTCTGTATTACTGGAAGATCCATACTGTCTCTTAATATATCCTGTTCAGCTCCTGTATATTTCAATAGGTGATACCTTATTTTGTTTTTGATGTATAATTCTCCAGATTATCACTAAAGCAACTGCTGACGGAACACTTTACTCGCGAGACTGGGATATTGAACCCCTTTTCCCGCTACCTGAAACAAGCACCGTGAATAATGAGTGTGTTTCTCTTCGTTCTTTTAGATTTGTTGTTTGTTATTTTAAGATCTTCAGGCTGAGGATATTATTAACCGAAATACTTCTTGTGCCTTGTGGTTTGTTTTGTCCTTGATTTTGTAATTGTAAGTTATTGCAGTTTGTTCAGAACTTCAGGCTGACTGTCTGCATTGTTTTGTTAAGTCATTATTTTTGTATTTTACTGTAATTTGTTCCAGTGCTTCTTCCTAAAATCTCTTGTCTTGAATTTGGGGTAATAAAAGTTCTGTCTCTACTTCTGTCGATCTCTAGCTCTTTTAAGTTTTTTTGATACGATGCTTCGGTTGGAAAGCCATCTCTTAGCTCATCTTTTTAACAGAACTTGGTATTCCCTTATTTTTGTCTCCTCTCTTTCTGGAAGACTGTCAAGCGAAAATGGGTTTTATACTTTATTGGCAATTGCTTTGTTGGATATTCTTGTTTGCCAGTTGGAAGAGTTTAGGGGTCGTTTGGTTGGAGTATTTGGAATGGATTGGAATGGAGTTAAAGTCCATTCCAACCATTTTCTTGTTTGGTTAGGCAAATTTAGGTATGTAATCTCATACCAAGGGGTTCTAATTCCACCCTATCCCCTTAGAATCTCATACCCACCTTACCCCCAAAGACTCACTATCCATTCCTTTAAGGAATTGTAAAAACCATTCCAAATAATAAACCAAACAAGTTTAGACAAGTATGGGGTTTAGAATCCATACCTCCCTAGTATGAGATCCCATACCAATCATTCCAAGTTAGTGAACCAATCGACCCCTTAGTCTGTTGTGTTTGGTCTTTTGGAAGACCTGTATGTGCTGTTTTTTGTTTAAAAAGTAGTTTTTTAATTTTTTTTTAAACAAAAATTGGGTTATGTACTTTATTGGCAATTCCTTTTGGACCTTTCTATAAAAATTAATAAATAAATGTATTGGAACCAAGTGGATTGTGAAAAAAATGGATGTCGTGCACTGCATTTCCTCATAAAGGATGTTTGGTGATTTCATTCATTTTTCTTTTCTTAAATGCTTTACCTATACTCTGCGTTAAACTTGGGAATGTCCATCATAATTTTCTATTCTACAACCCAGGGTAAGATTTCTTGCCTATATGATGATGTGGGAGAGCTTAAATCAAAATTAGACTCTTATAGCTTACCCTTTTTTTTTTTTTTGGGTTGTAATTTATTGTCAAGAAGTAATACTGTTTTAATTCACAGAAATGGACCTGAATCAGCCGGAAAAGAGTTCATCACAAACTTTCCATGTACTTTCATTTTCATGTGCTTTACTCTGTAATATCCACGAACCAACGAAATTGGTGGATGAGTTTAAGAATAAGATAGATAAAGTAAAAAAGATGGAGTATAAAGGTGGGTATGCGGTTTTTGTTTCAATTGTGGGTACTGTTGGAGTGTCACGGTTTGGATATGATACGTTTATCACAGATTGTGTCACTGTTGTTGCGATGCAAATTTGATTCTAATGTCTTTTTAAGATTTTATAGTAGTTGTAGGTTATTAGAATAATTAATGTATTACAGTGAAGGATTAGATCCATTAGTGGGGAGTCATGGGGAATCTTAAGATTCACTATATATTTGCCTAGGAAGTAACTTTTGTGTTGAACCAGAGATATAACATACAATGCAGGGTGATTTGGGGCTGGACATTTAATTCAGACAAGATAATGGGTTTTTGATACACCCCTTGTTGATATGGACAATTTTAGTTAGGTCAATTGATGATCCTTCACAATAAGGCCCAATCAAAACAATGCAGCCTTGTTTTTAACACCAGGAGAGAGTAGAAAGGTGATGTTTGGGGTAAGATGGGGAAATTGGGTTTGCTAAAAATAGAATAAGTAAAAATTTGTTCAACATAAATGTATTCCCCTTACATAGGAAGTGGGTAGATCATATGAAAACCAAGGTAATACATAAATTTGGCATTTAGGAAATGTAAAAGCCTTCTGTCTCTAAGACATTCCATGTTTGGGGTTTATGGGTGAAAAAAGAAAACTATTTTAACTGTCAACCTAACAGTGATTAATACTCAATTTGTCTTTATTGGTGGTGAGAATTGGTGGTAAAGTTGGTATTGGTAATGATGTTAAAAACATCTAGTAGAGATTGGATTATTTGATTAAGCTTTTCTTTTTATTTTTTTCTTGATTCAGAAAATTAACTACTAAGTCTCCCCTTTGAATGAATTAGTTAGAAGTTGGGGGGCCCTAATTTTTGCGGTTCTTTACAGGTGGGTGCAGGGATTTCTCGTTTTAGTATCTGTTTTGCATTTCTTGGTCTATGTGCTCCTCTTCAGACAAACAGTCAAAGTGCATTTTGTTATTACTATGTGTATAATTTTAAAAAAGATTGCAGTGTAGCATATTTTGCATTTATATTTTGAAGCTGGCCCAAATTGCTTGGGGCCTTTCTTATTTTGTCAAGTGACTATCCCATTGAAGCTGAGAATACCTATTTTGATTACATGCTCATGCTGAAGATTACTTTTATCAGTTTCTTGTTGCAGTCATTGTTTGACATATCCTGATTTCTTTGATGAGCTTACTGGAAGTTAGCCAATTATCTTTTCTGTTCTACTTCCTTGCTGTCAATGTCTTTGATGAGCTTACTTGGAAGTTAGCCAATTATCTTTTCTGCATGAATTGTTTTTAAATGTATCTGTTTTTTTTTTTTTTTTTTTTTTTTTTTTTCACTTGCTTTGTTTACCTGCAGACAGAGTGTAGCACCAGCAGTATCATTGTCCATATTTAAAAGAAGCCCTAGCAGACGAACTAAAAGTCGGTGGGAGCCTCTACCAGAAGATAAACCGATTGAGAAACCAACATCGACGCATCAGGAATCTGCTAGGCAGGGTGTATGGGCTCATTTCAACGGAAGGGATCATAAGGTATATGGCCTGCCTTGTTTATGCCCACTTAAGTGTAGTAGATTTGCCTAATTAATTATTTCTCTTCATCATTTTTTTGAGCTGGTGTGGATCAAGAGGGTTTTCTGTTTTTGGCAAATGTACAGGAAGAGCAAGCCTTTGTATTTGCAAATTGAAAAGTTTATATAGAAGCCTAGTTTTAAAAAGTGTTCCTTGGGTGGGTGCGGTCAAGCGCGAGAATTGGCATCTAAGCTTTGCCAAGTCCAAAGCCCTATAACAGGCGCATGCCTATGCTCTTTTTTTTTTTTGCCTGTTTATTGTGCCTTTGTGCCTAATGTTGTAAGGTGTCGTTAGCTGATGTGTAGGATTTTTTTACCACTTGACTTTGCAAAGGTCAGATTAGCTATCGATCACATGACCCTTTTACCTTAACAAATAACATTATGTAATGATAAGTTCTGTAATAATAAGTTCAGTTTAGTAAAAATAATTTTAAGTTTAGTTTAGTAAAAATAATTTTTAAGCAGTAAAAATTGGTGACCTCAAAGAACAAATAAAAAAGACAATTAGAAAAATAATTTAAGTTCAACAAAATCAAGTGAAAAGAACAGGGCCTTATTTAGTAGAAATTGATTATTTATTTATTTATTTAAATTTTTTAATTTTTAATTTTTTTTTTTTTTTTATATAAATAACGTGTACCTCACCTACAAAAGGCGCGCACCATGTGCCTAGGCCCCAGGTACTTTTGTGCCTTGGTCACTTGGTGCGCCTCGCACTCTTTAAAACAAAGGGAAGAAGTACAGGTTAGATCTCACATACAGGATATACCTTGTCGTCATCTCTGTAATATACATTTTCAATCTACTTAAACCAAAGAGTTTGCATCTCACTAAAGTGGACGGACTTGATTAGTACTTCAGGAGACTCATATGTTTTAAAATGCTGCCACTTACAATATTTTGAAATCTATCTCCTTTCTTCCTTGTTTAATAACCAGTTTTATCAGTTATCCTTGCAGTCTGTTGCCGGAAAATCCGAGAGAAAAGATGCAACTTTCAGTAGATTTTCTACTGTGGAGCAGACAACTGCTAGAAGTGCCCACAGGCCTTCTAAAAGACAACGCTTTGTTAACGACTCTAGTGCCACTGAAAATGGTGATGCCTCAAGTGATAGTGATAAGGAACAAAGTTTGACAGCATACTACTCTGGAGCAATTACACTTGCCAACTCACCAGAAGAAAGGAAGAGGCGTGAGAATCGTTCCAAGCGCTTTGAGAAAGGTAATGGACAAAGATCTGAGAATCGTTTTAGACCAAAGAAGGCTAGTGTTGGAAATCTGTATGCCAGAAGGGCCAGTGCGCTGGTGCTTAGCAAAACTTTAGAAGATGGAGTTTCTAGGGCTGTTGAAGATATAGACTGGGATGCCCTTACTGTTAAGGGTACATGCCAGGAAATTGAGAAACGCTATTTGCGACTTACTTCTGCACCTGATCCATCGACTGTAATACCTTCTTTCCACACAATAACTTTCTGTCTTTGTCTACTGTATGTAAGTGGCAAATTCAGGTTGATAACATTATTGAGCAATGTGGTTTCTTCAGGTTAGACCTGAGGAAGTGTTAGAGAAGGCTTTGCACATGGTTCAAAACTCACAGAAAAACTACCTATACAAATGTGATCAATTAAAATCGATTCGTCAAGATTTGACTGTGCAGAGGATACGGAATGAACTGACAGTCAAGGTATATCAATATTATATTCTATGCACTTTTAAATTAAGCATTATAATTTGTTCAAAATAACATTTTTGTTGCCTCTTAAAGTTAGTTGTCTCTTTAAGTTAGTTTGTTATCAAAATAATTTGATTTTACATGAATTAAAGGCGTTTTTATGTTTTTTTTTTTTAAAGTTCTGCATCATACCATTTTCATGACTTTTCTAATTCTCTGATGCTTCCAGGTCTATGAAACTCATGCTCGACTTGCTCTCGAATTCGGGGACTTGCCAGAGTTTAATCAGGTTGGTCTTTGTGCAATGGTGAAAACATCAGCTATGTCTTGTTCAGTTTAAATTGATATAGCTTATTGTGTTTTCCTCAAAAAAAATAAAAAAATAGAAGAGATCAGTGTTTGTTCCTATTGTATAGGTCTAAATCTGCTATAGGGTATGACTTATGAGACTCACAGTTGGTCTTAGAAAAAGATAGGCATGATAATTGCAGTCTGTAATCTAAATCTAACGTTATGTGTTTTTGTGTGGACTTATGTTCTTTATCTAATAATTTAGTCCCTGTTTTCAAAAATAATCATTTGTCTATGGATTTATCATGTTCTTTATCTAATAACTGTGTAACGGTCGCATGTTAGTAGGTTGGAGTTATCCAGTTCAAATTGTATAAATATTTTTTAATTATTATTATTAATTTTTTTATGATAAAAAAAGATGAACTGGGTTGTTGCTTTTGCTTGCAGTCTCAGTCGCAGTTGAAATCGTTGTACGCTGAAGGAATTGCAGGTTGCCACATGGAATTTTCTGCTTACAATTTGCTTTCAATCAGTTTACTTTCCAATAATAGAAGAGATCTGCTATCATTGATGTCAAGGTTAGTGATAGATTGTGAAATAACTTTTCCCTGTATCAAGTTTCTTATATATAGACTAAAACTGCTATGGAGTACAAGACTCACTCTTGATCTAAGAAGCAGATAATCAGAGTCTGTAGTCTTGAATATTCCTGTACTTGTATAAATGCTCTATTTTCCTTTTGTGCTGCAGAATAAGTTCTCCAATATTGTTTTAGGAAATTTACAACAATATTTTACTATTCTCCTCCCCACTAGTGGCCCCCTCATCATATTTTAATATTTTTCATATTCTCCTTATACCCACTTGCTTTTTCAGATTTTTTTTTATTCTTCAACCTACCCCACTTCAATAAAATAATGTTTTTCTACTATTCCTCCTAAAACTTCGTGTCTGGAGAAGTGGAGCATTTATTTATTTAAATACGGAGGGAGTATAATTTAGTGCGTGTGTGATTTTACTCAAGCCCTGTTTTATTATTATCTGGTCCCTAACTCTGATTTAGGTGGTAGCAAAGTTAAAAAAAAAAAAAAATTACCTGTAGCAAATGTGAAGCGAGGTGTTTTCCCAGGAAGCAAATGTCAAAATTTCCTACAAAGATAGTATCTTTTGGTAGAAGTTTGTCTATTTAGAGAAATCTGGTTGATAATGTATAAATGTTTCAGCTGTTTGACTTGTGTTTAACTTGGTTGTATGAATTTATAATTGGTTTTTTCGATCTACTGTATCTAGTCTTTTAAGCTGTACTAGTTTTAGGCCCATTTATTCTCCTAAAATGTGAAAATATGTTTATGCTGAAGTATGTTTGTTTAATTTGAGTGGCAGATTATCTGATGAAACTAAAAGGCATGAAGCTGTGAAGCATGCACTTTCAGTTAGGTCGGCTGTTACATCAGGAAATTATGTCCTGTTCTTCAGACTGTATAAGTCAGCACCTAATTTGAACACTTGTCTCATGGGTATGTTGTATGTGTCATCTTCTCTTTCAAGTACAGTTCAATTTAATCTCTCTCATCATTTGACATGTATGATTGTTATTCAACAGATCTCTGTGTAGAAAAAATGCGCTTTGAGGCTGTGAAATGCATGTCTCGTACGTATAGACCTACAATTCCTGTTTCTTATGTTACTCAAGTTTTGGGATTCAGCAGTGTATCTGAAGGTGAAGGGGCTGATGAGGGAGACGTGGATGGCTTGGAGGAATGCATGGAATGGTTGAAGGCGCATGGTGCGTGCCTTATTGCAGATAATAATGGTGAAATGATGATTGATGCAAAGGTATGGCTCGATTCTTTTTACAGTTTACTATCTTTTATTCAAATTCGTGCTTGTAACGAGCTTTTCAAGCCATGTTTGGTTCATATTGACTTGTTAAGGTCTACAGCTGAGGCTGTGCTTTGTTCATCTTAGCTTGTAAAGGTCTGGAGCTGAGCCGTGCTCAAATAGATGGCCAGATGAGTTGGCTCATTATATTTCTTTGCAGGACCCTCTATATTGGTTATTGTTAAGTGGTGGCTCTGGCACTGTGTTTAGCTGTTACAATTTTGACCTCTTGTGGACTGTGAATTGCAATATGTTTATTTTGGCAATGCAGTCTTGTATTTTGTGTGCTGGTTTTGGTTGTGTCAAACTTCCCTTTCCACTTTTCGCTTTTCATTTACATCAATTGTTTGTGTTAATATCTTTAAAATTTTCTTTTTAGTTTTGCATCATTGTAAGTTGATTACAAGCTGTTCAACATTCATCCATGACTTTGGTTTTTTATTACGTCATCGTGTCATGAATATATATACTTTTTAAATTTATTTTCATTTTTAATTTTATTTTAAGCCCACTAATGTTGAATGAACTGTATTGTTTTCCTTTGCTATAGTTTTTTCAAACCTTTATGTTTTCAACTTGAATGATTTAACTAATCTTTTAAAACTTTCTTGAATTTTATTCTTGATTCTCTTTTAAAACTGCCTTAATTTTTCTTAAATGCTCTTTCATTTACTCACTTTACTCGCCTTTTTAAAACTCTTTTAAATGATGGTTACTACCTCCGTTTCATATTATTTGCAACGATTTGACATAATTTAACCAATCTTTTAAAACTTTGTTGAATTTTATTCTTGATTCTCATTTAAAACTGCCTTAATTTCTCTTAAATGCTCTTTTGTTTACTCACTTCACTCACCTTTTTTTTTTTTTTTTAAACTCTTTTAAATGATGGTTTTACTATGTACTAACCTCCGCTTTATATTATTTGCAACGATTAAGCATAAAGTAGAGAGAAAAAATGTCTAATCGTTGCAAATTATATGAAACGGATGTAGTATTTATATCGTACGATTCCTTATGATTCATGTTAGCTGACCCTAAATCATTTTGGGACAAGGCTTTCTTGTTGCTGTTGTTATAGTCAAAGTCCAAGTTTGTGATGCAACATAATTTTACCTCAAAAATTGGTCCTCTCTTTTACTTAATGGCCGGTGTTGTGAACAGGTCTCCTCATCTAGTCTCTGCATACCTGAACCTGATGATGCTGTGGCTCATGGAGATGCCAATCTTGCTGTGAACGATTTCTTCACTCGAGCATCCACTTAACTGTTCTTTCTAAAAAAAGGTTTGAGAGCACTGGGAAGTCATAGTATTGATATTCATCTGACCATCAACAGTATAATTGATGACAAAATAATCATCATCAAAAGGGCAGGACTAGGGTTTTAGAAAGTCTGGCCCTCTGATGCTGATCTTAAAGGATTTTATGTTGGTGGAGGGATGGAGTATGCACATGCATATAACATTGGAATTGCTAGAGACGAAATCTGGCACAGGCACAAGCATGCTAGTGGCTTGTAGATGCACCAAAGCCTCATAGCAAACCGATTTGTCAAAGATTAGTCTGTAAACTTGTTAGTGAATGTAGTTGTAACATCAATTCATTCTTGTTCGAGTAAAAAGTACATATAGGCAAGAAAAGCAACGCGAATAAGGTGGTCATCCATGTATCTGATGTAATTTTTGCCAAATTTTTGTTCTAAGTAGACTATTTTCAAAAAATTTGTTTTGCCCATCAAAAAAGTTGGCAAGCTATAGAGTTCTTTGTTTTTCACAGCTTCTGTCGTATACAAACCCTTTTTTTTTTTATTACTGTTTTTCCTCCCTTACCTAGCCATTGATTCCAAAACACATCTGGATTAACTAAACAGTATTTATATCTTGAGACTTAACAGTCATTCAAGTATTCGACTGATTAGGGTAACCTTATTTACCTGATCTTTACATTGAGTCATTACAGAAGCCATTCACTGATCTTCAGAGTATATGACAGTGGCGAATCCAGTAACTTTACAGAATTACAGCAACAGAAAATGATTTATACGCAGCATAACTTTAATTATACTCTATAGCTCAAACATTTTACAACATGTCACAGAATTAGAAACAAAAATAGCAGCAGCTATCTGTAAATCATTTCTTTGCATCAGTCTGAGGCCAAACACTAACCTTCTCTTTCTCAAACTTCAAATACACAGCACTAACAGCAGCCATAAAATATATCTGAATAAAAACTATTGAAGGTGTATGATAGCTTATCACACTCTTCCCCGTCGCCAATTCCACCAACAACAAAGCCACCAGTCCTACACCAGCGAGTCGCCCGTTAACCCGCTCCGTATAAGGACTAAACCCAAAATCCACCTTCAGACCACCTGAGACCGGTTCAGTCAATGGAACCGGAGGCAAAAAAACCGGTTCTTTCCCGGTTCCAACAGAATCAGATTGCTTTCCTTTCTTAATCTTTCGTATTTCGGCTTTTTTCCCGGTTCCAGACCGGTACTTGAGCCGCATTCGGGAAAGCCGGGAATCAAAGTCGTCATCAGAAGAAGGGGATTGTGGGTCGGATTTCGGTTCAGGGTCCGGTTCAGAAGAGGCTTTTGGAGTAAAGGTGAGATGGGTAGAGTTGGACCGGGTTGATGGGTGGAAGAAGAGGTTTGTGCGAGGAGAATTAGTGAGGAATTGATGAGATGATGCGAATGAAGAAGCTGCTGTTGCTGCCATTGTTGATGGTTATGCTAGTTTTGGAGATTGATTATATTGATGATGGTGTTGTTTTTAGTTTAGTAGTTTTTTTGAGGTTTGTATTTTTAGTTTGGTCCAAAATTTTTGTGGTGGATAAGGTGTTTTGTTGGTGGTGTTTCATCCTTGTCTTTCATGGCTTGATTTCTCTAAAAATTGCTTAAAGTAATCAAAATTCCATGATCACTTTATTTTTTTTAATGAAAATTCCCTTTACCGTTGACGTCAGGTCGTCAGCAAAATCAATCGATTTATTTTATTTTATTTTACGGTTATTTCACCAAATGCCACTGACAAATTTAAAAATTCATCAAATGCCATCGCACTTTTCAGAATTCACCAAATGCCACTCAGTTTTTTAAAAATTCACCGAGTGCCATTAATGACCAACGGCCGTTAACTCCGTTAGTCATTAGGGGTTATCATGACACATGTCATGATATTATTGGTCCATTTATCTTTATTAATAAAAATTAAAAAAAAAGCTGAAAATATAAAAAAAAAAATCAGAAAATTAAAAAAAAACCCCAAAATTATTTCAAAAACCCCGACCAGCCAAAACCCCCATCAGCCACAACCACCCTCCCCGCCGCCGTTCCCGCCGTCCCAGCTACTGGATTCTGTTGTCCCACAGCACCGACGCCGCCCAAGAAGCTCTCCCGCAACGCCGACCACCTAGAAGCTCCCTCGCAGCGCCGACGCCGTTCCTCCCCCTCCCCCTCCCCCCTCCCACGAAACTCCCTCCCCAGCGCCACGAAACCCAGTCCTCAACCCTCAAAATCCTTTCTCTGTCCCGATCCCAGCCCCCTTCCCTTCCCCAATCCCTTTTCCGGCTACTTCCCCTTCCCCACACTCCGATTTCGACCCTTATCCCCTTCTAACTTGGCGATTTTGGCCCTCCTCCTCTTCACAACCTTGATTTCGTTAATGGTTGTGGTGGGTAAACGGGTAGGGGAGGGTTGGAAAGTAGCTCCGAGTTGGAGAACGGCGCGGAAAATCTGGCTGCTCTGGGCCTCGTCTGGCTGGTGGTAGGGGTGGCGAGGTGGTTGAGGTCACGGTGGGGCTAGGGTCTGGGGTTAATTTTAGGTTTTACAGGTTCGGGGAAGTTTGTGTGGGTGGTTTTTGGGGTCGACGGTGGGTCAGGTGGGGCGCAAAAGGGCCGGCCGGTCGATTTTTGGTGGTTAAGGTGGTGGCCGGCCGTTTTCCGGCGATATAAGGGGAGGGGCTAGGGTTAGGCGGTGGTAGGGGTGGCTGGGAAAATTTGGGGTTTTTTTTTTTTTTTTTTTTTTTTTTTTTTTTTTTTTTAATTTTCTGTTTTTTTTTAATAATTATTTTCTAATTATTTTCAGCTTTTTTTTTTAATTTTTATTAATAAAGATAAATGGACCAATAATATCATGACATGTGTCATGATTAACCCCTAATGACTAACGGAGTTAACGACCGTTGGTCATTAATGACACTCGGTGAATTTTTAAAAAACTGAGTGGCGTTTGGTGAATTCTGAAAAGTGCGATGGCATTTGATGAATTTTTAAATTTGTCAGTGGCATTTGGTGAAATAGCCGTTTATTTTAATATAAATAACTTAATAACGTAAAACCTAATTGAATTAGCGGTCTATGTTTCCACCAAACATGAGTATGGGCACCGATGTAGTGTTTTGTGGTTATTTACTATAACTAGCGGCTTTACTATAGATAAAACCATTAATATGGTAATCTGGCTAATTCAATTAGCGGTTTCGCACTGAGCCGGTATATAAAAAAAAATAAAAAAAAAATCAATAATCTAAGGTGGACGGTATGTAGGAATTTTTTATGAAAAGTATAATAATTGTGAAATTTTAGTTTGTTTAAGAAATTTTTAGGAAATTACTCTCTTTCATGAATTATTTTATGACGAAAACTAAAATAAAATAAAAATAAACTTCAAGCACATACATTGGGACTAATATGAAGGATTAATATCCATATTATTGCTAATTAATTAAGCAACTTAAGCAATTCAATAAGTTTAAATTTTTTTTTTTTTACCATACATGTAATAAATGGTTTAGGCTATAAAGTTGTTGAGAAGATAACGAACGTCTGAGGTGAAATGTTCAATCTGCAAAAAATGTTGATTGGTGTCTTGGACTTAGTTGTGTTGGGGATGTTCATCCCAAGTCTCACACGGGAGGAGTAAGGAGGTGAAGAGTGCATACTCATTTAGTATGAAGCTTTTTTGGAAAGGTGTCAAAAAAATACTACATTAGTAATGAGGTCTTTTAGGAAGATGTCCAAAAACAAATCCGTGTAGATTTGGTCCAAATCGGACAATTTGTGGAGTGGAGTATTTGCGGACCCGTCAAGGTGGGTGCCCTGAGCCCAATAAGTTGATGAACTCTCAGAGATTGTCAAGTTAGAACTTAGAATTACGCTTTTGAGAGGCGGAGTGGATCTCCTTTTGGAGATCTCGAAGAGAAATGATTTTGGTGTGAATTATGTTATGCCACTAATCTATATCTATATCTATATCTATATCTATACTTAGTATTTAAAAACACAAACCATCATCCCCATCAAGCCACATGTTAATTTTATTTTTCACCAATGCCACATGTCACCTCATTTAACCTTTCTTTTTTTTTTAATTCCATTTTCTCATTTTTTTTTAAATAAAAAAAACTTCAATTAAATACATGTATGAAAAAAAAAAATGTTGTTTGCATGGTTCACTTTCCCCAACTTATACTACAATTACATTCAATTTTCACCCCTTCTTCTCCTTTATAAACTATTTATTTTCCAATAAAAATAAATTATAAAATCAAATTTGTATTGTATATCTATAAACAATATGTGCTTTGCACGGGCCAGAAGGCTAGTTACATAAATTTCTATTAGTATTAAGTCCACAATTTTATATAGTAATTGTCAAGGGTTTCATTATGGTGAATAAAAAATGAATTACACTCTTAATTTAAGGTAGAGCAACATATGAGCATCCAAAATCCTCAACTAGATTACACCTCTTACAATAACGTTCTTATGTTATTAACTTACAACTGAGAGGTTTAAAGTTCAATTTTTAAATTTTATGCTTGCATACCACACGATCATTTAATGACTTAATGCATCACATAGCACATGTAGAGTAATACTTTATTCAAGAATGCAGATGTAGAGTAATACTTTATTCAACAAAGAGGTTTAAAGTTTGATCATTTAATGACTTAATCATTTGCTAGAGTCTACATACCACACAATTTTGATTTTCATTTATTCAAGAATACAGATTCAAAAGTCTGGTTGAATTATAATTTAGGATTGGATAAAAATTGGAAACTGATTTTTGTAACAGGTTTATGGCATATTTGGTTACAAAGAAATGAGATGGTGTTTGAGAATAAACAAGTAAACTCTCTTTATTCACAAAATTTTCAGTGGACCATCAATTCAATTATACTATTTCCCAGGTGGATGATAGGAAGAATAAAGGCAAAGGCAAGGTAGGAAGTTCTTCATCCATGAACTGGGAAGCACCAAAGGCAGGCTATATCAAAATCAACATTGATGGGGCATGGATGAACCCTGCTATCTCATCTGGGGGAGGTGTTCTGAGAGGGAATTCCTGTTTCTCACGGTGAGAAACGAAATTTGTTTCTCATGAGGGCATTTTCGTGAATAAATCAACAACTTTTTCATTATTGTGGGCTCCACAATTGAATAAAGTTGTTGGTTTATTTACGAAAATGCCATGTGAGAAACAAATTTGTTTCTCACCATGAGAAATTGGGGCATTGCATCCTCGTTCTGAGACGTGCAGATGGCACTTGGTACGTGGGCTTCTCTTGTAAGTATTCGGCAATATCTCCTCTAGCTGCGGAGCTGTATGCCTTAAATGATGGTTTATCAATTGCAAGTGATCTGAAGATTAAAAAGGTTGAGATTGAAACTGACACAGACTCTTTGAGAACAATGTTGCTTACTACTGGTCCTCATCCTCATCATGAGTTGCTGCAGCGGTTTGTGACGTGGCTGCGGTCCTTAACCGTTTTGAAGTGGCTGTAATTACTCATGTGCCTAGGGAGAAAAATATATTGGCTCACAAGTTGGCAGCTTATGGAAAGGATATGGCTGTAGGATACAAAACACACTACCTGATTCCAGAGTGTGTGAGAGCCATCTATGAATCTGAGCTGGCTCTGGGGTACTGCAAGTTGGGGGGGGGGGGGGGGGGATGATCTACAAGGTTTAATGTATAGCGGCTTGGTAGTTTTAGCCTATTTCTTAGGCCTTATTTTGGTTAGCATCCATTTTCAATGTACAAATTATGTGATGCTATTTGTAATTACAACTATGGCTTTAGCCACTTAATATAATTATTTCCTGTTTGTGTTAAAAAAAAGAGTAATACTTTATAAACAACACATCATCATTATCAATTTATCATGCATAGTTTCATCTTTAATCTTTATCTTATTTCTACACTAAGATATGAAGATGCAACCAAAACCAATGTATAAATTGGTTTAATCAATTATTCAATATATTTTCTTTCTTAAAAAAATGTTCAATTTTTAATTTTAATGTAGAAAATCATGTAAAGATATCATGACTATATATGAAACATTTGATTAATTATATAATGTGTGTGTATATATATATATATATATATATATATATATATATATATATATATATATATATATATATATATATATATATATATTATTTATAAGTGTATCTATAAATCTCATAAAAAAATCTAGTAATTATGTGAAAATGCAACTTACCTACAAGAAAAGGAAAGACTCATTTATTTGCTTAAAAATCATTATTCTTGACGTAAGTTGGGAATGTAAGCATGTGGCAAGTTTAAAATTTTGTCATTGTGTATAGTTTTTGAATAATATAATAAGTTCTAAGCATTGGTGACATCTTACCTCACCTCTATAAAGTTTGATTTTAGTAATTTTTGCCTAAGAAACTTGTTGCATAGGTAAGTTTCATTTTTAGATTTTTGTTTTTAGTGTGTTTTGCGTGCGGATGACTACATGATTTGACCACTTGTAAAAGAGCAAAAGTACCCTCTATAACTTTGATCAAGTTTATTTTATAATACTGATCGAGTAACCCCTATAATACTGATGATATAAACCCTATAAAACTGGCCAAATAACCCACATAACACTAAGTAACCTTCATGGTGGCTCGTCACATCGTGTGGCCAACCACATATAAGAATTAATGGCAAACAATGCCAAATGAATGTGAT